TCTGCCTGAAAGAGAGTGGGAGTTGGGAACTGGGGTTCTGGGTTCTGTTCCATCCCTGGCTTCTCTAGGTCTTTGGGCAGATTGCTTTTTTTCCCTGAGCTGGATTCTGATTCCTGGAAAAGAGCTAGCAGCCCTCCTGCTGAGGATTAGAGTAGATGGCATCTTTGAAAGCAGGTGGAGTGTTAAATTACAAAGTAAATGCAAATGTAAATCGATTTAGTATAGAGAAAGCTCTATTAGCTGAGGAGTTTTTGCCATTTTACGACTAAGATTTATTCTGTGGGCCTCTTGAGTTCTGTAGTTCTCGGATAAATACTTTCTGAAATATCCAGCCTTGGGGGGCTCTTAATACCCAATACGGAGGTGGAGAAAGCTCCCTGTACTCCAGTCTTGACTTCTTTCCTTTTGATCCCAGGGAAACCTCTGCTATGATTTCCTTCCAACATCTAATATTAAATAAATGCATTTTCTCTTTGTCTTCACTAGCCTTGAATTTCTCACTTTCATCAATAATATTTAGCTTTGAAATAGTCTTAAAGCTTTAGAGTTGCTATTTTATGTTCTTTATTTTCTTTTTTTCCTACTGCCTCCTGAAATAGTTTGATGCCAGGTGCAACTTAATTTTTCCTCATCTGTGTTGCTTGGTTCTAGCACTTTCTCTCCATTTCCCACTGAGGGCCTGAATCGCCGACCTCTCTTCCTCTAGACTCCAACACAGTGTCAAGGGGCTTCTTCTTGAAGCTTCACTCAAAGAATTAAGTGCGCTGGCTCACAAGCCTGAGGTTTCTTCAGGAAATCAAATCCAAACTTGTAATCATATATGTTTAAGTCCCTCTGCCACTTGGCTCCTACCCTCCCTTCACCTAACTATCCACAGTTTTTCCTTCTTCACTGTCCTGACCAGTATTCCCATGGTGATGAAAGTATTCTCAGACACATATCTTCACCATTAGCCATCCCAGCACCCCTCCTTGGCTCTCACATACAAATGGTACAACCTTATTTAAGTAGATTGGTCAGGTAGACTCTTAAAAATAGGCTGTGTTCAACTAGAAGGATGTGCAACTATGACATACAGCTATCTACTGGGGCTTTGGGGAAAAAAAAAAAAAGGAGGAAGATTGGCAATAGATGTTAGCTCAGAGCCAGAGGAGGATTAGCACGGATGTTAGCTCAGGGCTGATCTTCCTCACAAAAAAAAAAAAAAAGGCTGTGTTGCTATAGATCGGCTGTTTCCTATAGAAATCATGTTGTAAATTGTGGTAGTTTCTAGGCTGTCTCACTGATGCCCACTTAGCTGATAATGTTGCTGCAGGACCGAATCTATGCATGAAAATGGAAAAGAAGCATTGCTTACACATTTGAGTAGGGACCTCTTTGACTTAATCATGATAGCTTATGCCTAAAGAAGAGCATGCTTATTTAGAGAATGAGAAATAGAAACTTGAGAATTTTCTGTGAGAGTTTTTGGGAACCTATGGGTTTGGACGTTTTTGAAAAGTTCTAGTCGGGATGGCCCCGTGGCTGAGTGGTTCAAGTTCCATGCTCTGCTTCGGCGACCTGGGTTTGCAGGTTTGGATCCTGGGCGCGGACCTACTCCACTCACCAGCCATGCTGTGTTGGCGTCCCACATACAAAATAGGGGAAGATTGGCACAGATGTTAGCTCAGGGCTGATCTTCCTCAAGAAAAAGAGAAAAAAAAGAGGAAGATTAGCAGCAGATGTTAGCTCAGGGTGAGTCTTCCTCAGCAAAAAAAAAAAAGTTATATTCCCAAATGCATTACTTTCTTTTCTCTGATGCTGTAGTGTCATTAAATCCTTTAACACATGTCTACTATGATTGGCTTTCTGGGTGCACAGCTGAAATGAACAGAGAAAAGAACAGTGGGGGAATGGAATTTTCTCGAGCTAAGTGGGGAAGAGTTGAAGACAGAGGTGTAAAGAAGAAAGATCTATTGAGAAAGATATGTGAGTGTCCCTGTGGTGGTGGCCTTTTGAGGTAGCATTCCTGAAACTGTGAGTGATGAAACAAGAAAAGTGAGAGTACTGCATGTCGTTCCTTTCGGGATAAGAAAAGAGGTGGTGAGGAAGAGACACTGGGCAGAAGGTTCTGCAGGTGGCCCCCAGGCCAGTTTGTTTGCTGTCTGGGGTGTCGTTGGGTTGGGTGTGGGGAGAGGAAGAGAAGTGAGACATTAGAGAGGGCTCTGGGGATGCTGATCTGCAGAGGGAAGCATAGCAGCAGGTACCCCCCATGGAAGGTCAGTTAGGTTTCATCAATTCAGGAAGAAAACCAGGACTCTAGCTAGGCAGGCTCCTGATAAATTAAATTCACCAACTGGTACTGCTGGACAGATTATAACTAATGTTTATTGAGTGCTTACTCTGTGCCAGGCCCTTGATAAGCAGTTTACATTTAATCCATTCAACAACCTTATGAAGAAGCATACTTGGTAGGTTGTGACCCACTCAAGTTCCTCCACCAGTAAATGGCAGAGACTGGACTCGGCTCAGGGCTGCTTGATGTGGAATCCACCACCATGCTGTGTCAGGTGGGGGCTGTTTGGTCCAATTGCCAAATTTTAAATGTGAGGACAGGGCTCTGCTGCGTTGTTCCTCATTACTGTGTATCTTTGTGTATGTGTCTGCAAAACATATACAATGTAGCTCAGAGCAGCATCCAAAAGGGAAATGTTACAACATAGGATTTTCTAGTTCCCTGACAGTTAAATCATTAATGCAGGGGAATTGTCCTAGAAGAGAATGTCTGTGAAAAGCTTCTAAAGAGCAGGCTTCTAGAACTTTCATTTAATCTCCAAGATTATTTATGTTCAAATTTCAGTAGCATTTTTAGGAGTTCAGCTCTTTGCTGATCACAGATTCTTAATGGGGTGAGGAGGTCATCCAATATAATATCGACTTGCTTTGAGAGGAGAAACATAAAAGCCAGAGGTTAAAGTTAACTTCCCATGGAGGGAAGACTACCATATTCCTGCAAAATTCCAGAAAGAAATCTTAAGATATTTGAGGAGATGCCAGGTATTTAAAAATAAAGTGTGACTAGCAATGTTTGAACTAGAAGTGGTTCTGAAAAGTAGTCGGGGAATCTGAGAAAGCATTGTTGAAGTACTAGGGCTTAGAGCTTGAGGTTGAAAGCATGAGTGTCTGCTTCCAGATCTCTTAGGTTGCATGCAAAACCAGACCAAACTGACTTTTAGGCTCTCTGGTTGGAGGACCACTGACTTCTGACCTCATACTTTATGAAAGCCAAAGTTTATTCTCTTCCTGCTCTGTCTCCTCATAGCCTGAAGAAAGGAGTTTGTGTGTGGCAGATTCCGAGCCAGGCTCTAAGGACAAGTAACTCTGTGAACTGGCATTAATGGGGCTGGTTGTGACTGAAAGGAGGGATGGGGGCCCGCTGGTCCCAAGACCAGGATTTGAGCCGTGGCTCAGTTATTCTGACTGTGTGACCTCACGTGCTTCACATGTGTCACCTGTAAAATGCCTACCTCCCTTGCTCCGCCTGCTTCACCAGGCTGTTGTGAAAATAAAATGAGATAATGTGTGAATTCTGATTTTTTGGCATTACTGTTACATATTAGAAGTGCTTGCTTGGGGCTTAAATTTTTGCTCTTAATTTAATTTGGCATCCACAATGAGACATATTTGAGAAGCGATGAGAGCCATAAAAGGGCTTACATTTAGCTAGCTCTTCGTTGCTTGGGAACTGATCATTTAATTTGCAGATTGAAGTTTGAGACCTGACTTTCCATCACCTGCTCTGTTACTTAGAGTATAGACATGGCTACCATAACAGAGAGATTGGATTAGCAGAGGTTAAACAACCTAGAAGTGCATTTCTCTTTCATGTCCTAGTCCAGGTGTCAGTGGTCCAGGGCAGATTTGGGGGTGAGGTGCTACATGGAGTCAGGGACTGAGGCACCTCTGTCTTGTTTTTCCACGTGGCTTTCACCCCTTGGTCCAAGGTGCCTTTCCCAACTCCATCCAGCAGGAAGAGGGTGACCACAGCGACACAGCCAGAACTATTCAAGTGTCCACGCTTGTCTACACTATAGTGTTGGGCTCAGCATCCATGCGTTCAGATAAAAATTTAATGACTGTGAAAGAAAGGAGACTGAATATTGCAGGGTGGGCAATGAGCAGCATCTGCCGCAGCTCCCTGGTTATGTCGTTAGCTTCCCTTTGAGAAGTGCATGGAAGGTGGAAGATGGACGAGTTTTTATTAATCGGTTCTTATGAACAACTATGAGATGACATTTGAAGGGGAGAACGAGGGGGTTAAGGCTGTTAGCTTAGAAAAGGTTAGGAGATGATTTGTGCTTTTCTTTTGTTCAGGCTTTGGAAGCCATTTATTATTCATGGAGCAGTTAGTAGTCCCTTCTTGCTACATTCCATGTCCTGTGCTAAGTGCTGGGGACTTAGAGATCATGGTCCTTGCTCTCTAAAGGTCAACTCCACATGGGAGATGGTCGTGTCAGGCAACGGAGACAGAACTGTCTAGTATACACTGTGGTGGGAGGCTGTGGGAGCTCATAGGGAAAGACCTGCCCACCCTGGGCAGGCAGAATGCGCACACGTGTGTGTGTGTGTGTTGGACCCAGGTGGGTGGTGTGCCTGGGGTTTTATCTTGGAATAGTGATGGGTCCCTGGGAGACGAGTGAACTGACTGGTGATAAGATGCTGTTCTCTAGTGTCATGTCCATGGCTTAATGTTTTTTTTTGTGTGTGTGTGAGGAAGATCAGCCCTGAGCTATCCACTGCCAATCCTCCTCTTTTTGCCGAAGAAGATTGGCCCTGGGCTAACATCCGTGCCCATCTTCCTCTACTTTGTATGGGACACCACCACAGCATGGCCTGACGAGCGGCGTATCTGTGCGCACCTGGGATCTGAACGTGGGCTGGCAGCAGCGGAGCGGGTGCGCTTAACCGCTACTGGGCCAGCCCCCATGGCTTAATGTTTTTATTTCTGTTTCTCTTCCTAGAAACTCTCAGAGTGGACATCGGGACCCTTTGTCACAAGGAACAATGCTGCCCCGATGGGAACTGTCTCTTTACCTGCTTGCTTCACTTGGCTTCCACTTCTACTCTTTCTATGAAGTTTACAAAGTCTCCAGAGGTAAGGCCCCAACTTTTCTGAACTTCTATCAAGAAAGGAAGAGGGGGAGGGGCCGGCCTGCTGGCGCAAGTGGTTAAGTTCGCGCGCTCCGCTTCCACGGCCTGGGGTTCGTGGAAGATTGGCCCAGGGCCAATCTTTCTCAGCAAAAAGAGGAGGATTGGCAACGGACGTTAGCTCACGGCTGATCTTCCTCACAAAAAAATAAAATAAAATAAAATAAAATAAAGGAAGAGGGGAAGGAGTGCTCAGAGGTGGAAGATTCATGAAGATGGTCTAATGGGCTTGGGATGACTTTGCTTTCCTCTCGTCTCGGACAGTTCGAATCAATGACCTGAGTCAGTGAAGTTTTCCACTCTAATCCTGGATCTTGTTGGTGATCCCATGGCTGGTCTTCTGTAGTAGGAAAGTTTGATTCAATGGCTACTGAACGCCATGGAGGGGATATGCATTCATAATTTGCAGTAGCCTCTTAAATTTCTCTCTAGCCATCACTCCTCTCAGACATAGGGAGGCAGCTCATGGTGTTGGAGGGCCAGACTCCTTTCATCTTCTTGTTCTGCTGTCTTTTGTGTTTTTGTGTGCATGTTGAAGAGGAATCATCACCAAGTGCACATTCCAGCCCATAGGAAGGGGGATGGGAACCCTCCTTTCCTTTAAGGGCAGCTTGGCAAGTTACCCTTGTTGCTTCTGTGCACACCCACTTGGCCAGCACCGAGTTCCATGGCCACAGCTGAGAGGCTGGGAGGTATCGTCTGTAGCTTGGTGGCCGTGTGCTGCTTAAAACTTCCCATAATGTGGATGAATGGGAGAAGGAATTTTGGAGGGACCGTGAGTGGCATCTTCTGTAGTCAGGGACAGTTTCCTAGAGGTGATGGTGAACCTTGACTTAAGGAAGAACAGGAGTCAGCCAGGTAGAGAAGAGGGCAGAGGATCTGTGGACAGAGATGAGTCTGTAGGCAATGCTATTGGGATGTGAGAAAACATAGCATGATCTGGGAACTACAAACCACTCAGTAGGACTGCAGTGTGAAGGGAGAGTGGCAAGAGTGGGGCTTAGATCAAAAAGCAGGGACAGATTGTGAAACATATTGTATATTTGGCTGGGGAGTTTGGACGTTACCTTGAAGGCAGGAGAGTATGCTGAAAGTAGTAGTGATCACTTAAAATGGCAAAGGTTGGTTTGGGGAAGCACAGTTGAGAGTGCTCTGCCCTCAGCATCTACCTCCTTATAGATCACAGGAGTTGATTTGGATCTGCATCACCAGGGTTGACTTTTCTCCCATTCTACAAATGTCCCACTCAAAACCATGGGCTTTGTTGCATAGACTGACCATCTAAAGTAGGTGAGGACTGTTGTTTGGTCAAGGCTGCTCATAGCTGCATCTGCCTGCTGGAGTCTCTGAGCTCTCAGGGCCCATGTAGAACGAGCTGACCTCTTCTGTCTCAGGCACTGTTTTAGGTACTTTATGTACCTTGTCTAATTTAATCTTTAGAAGACATGCTTGGCTGCAGAAACACAGCCTTCAAAATAACTGTGGTCCAGGGCTGGTATGGTGTCTAGATAGCATCAGAGACCCTGGCTCCTTCTCCCGTGTTCCTCTGGCATTCTCAACATGTGGTTGCACCTCATGATGTGAGGTGGCTGCTCCAGCTCCAGCTGTCGTGTTCACTTTTTCCCACCAGGAAGGATGGAAGGGAAGGGGAGGACAGGCCCTCCTCTTTTCAGAGCATGACCTGAAAGTTGCTTATGTCTTATCTGTTCATGCACTGTTAGCCAGTTACCTAGTCCTGTGGCCACATCAGTGTGAGGGAAGCTAGTAAATGTAATCTTCTGGGGGGGCATTTATCCAGCTACACTCAAGGGTTCTATTATAGAGGAAGAAAGGAAGAAAAGATATTAGCAGTTAATCAGCAGTCTTTGCCATACGTGGGTATCTTAGTTATCCATTGCTGCATAACAAACCATCCTGAAGCTTTGTGATTTAAGACAACCACCACCATTTATTATTTCTCACTGTTCTGTGAGGGTTTTTTTTCTCTTTTAACTAGACTATTTTTTAGATTCACAGCAAAATTGAGCAGAAAATAAAGAGAGTTCCCATATACTCCATGCCCCTACACATGCACAGGTTCTCCCACTATTAACATCCCCCACCAGAGTGGTACATTTTTTACAATTGATGAGCCTATGTTGATACATAATTATCACTCAAAGTCTAGGTAGGGTTCACTCTTGGTGTTGTTCATTCTATGAGCTTTGAGAAATGTATAATGACATGTATGTATCATTATAGTATCATACAGAATAGTTTCACTGCCCTAAAAATCCTCTGTGATCTGCCTATTCACTCTCCCTTTTCCCAAATTCCTGACAACCACTGATCTTTTTACCATCTCCATAGTTCTGCCCTTTCCAGAATGTCATATAGTTGGAATCAGACAGTATGTAGCATTTTCAGGTTGGCTTCTTTCATTTAGTAATACGCATTTATGGTTCCTCCATGACTTTTCATGGCTTGATAGTTCATTTCTTTTTAGTGATGAATAGTATTCCATTGTCTGGATGTACCACAGTTTATTCATACGTTCATCTACTGAGGGACATCTTGGTTGCCTCCAAGTTTTGGCAATTATGAAGAAAGATGATATAAACATTTGTGTGCAGGTTTTTGTGTGGACATAAATTTTCACCTCCTTTGAGTAAATACCAAGGAGTGATGGCTGGATTGTTATGGTAAGAGTATGCTTATTTTCTAAGAAACCACCGTCTTCCAAAGTGATTGTACCATTTTGCATTCCCACCAACAATGAAAGAGTTCCTGTTGCTCCACATCCTTGGCAGCGTTTGGTGTTGTCAGTGTTTTGAATTTTGGCCCCTCTAATAGGTGTGTAGTGGTATCTCATTGATATTTTAATTTGCATTTCCCTGATGATGTATGATGAGGAGTGTCTTTTCATATGCTTATTTGCCATCTGTATATCTTCTTTGGTGAGGTGACTGTTCAGGTCTTTTGCCCATTTTTTAATTGGGTTGTTCATTCTCTTATTCTTGAGTTTTAATAGTTCTTTATATATTTTGGATAACATCCTTATCAAGTATGTCTTTTCCAAATATTTTCTCCCAGTCTGTGGCTTGTCTTCTCATTGTCTTGACAGTGTCTTCACAGAGCACAAGTTTTAAATTTTAATAAGTTCAGCTTATCAGTTCCTTTTTCATGGATTGTGCCTTTGGTGTTGTATCTAAAAAGTCATTGCTATAGCCAAGGTCATCTAGATTTTCTCTTATGTTATCTTCTAGGAGTTCTATGGTGTTAAGTTTTATATTTGGATCTATGATCCATTTGATTTAATTTTTGTGAAGGGTGCAAAGTCTATGTCTAGATTCATTTTTTGTGAAGGTTACAAAGTCTATGTTTAGATTCATTTTTCTTATATATGGATGTCCAGTTGTTCTAGCATCATTTGTTGAAAAGGCTATCTTTTCTCCATTGTATTACCTTTGCTTCTTTGTCAAGGATCAGGTAACTATTTTTATATGGTCTATTTCTGGGCTCTCTATTCTGTTCCATGTATCTAATTGTCTGTTGTTTCACCAATACTGCACTCTCTTAAGTAATGTAGCTTTACAGTAAGTCTTGAAGTTGGGTAGTGTTGGTCCAACTTTGTTCTTCTCCTTCAATATTGTGTTGGTTACTCTGGATCTTTTGCATCTCCATACTGAAACTTTAGAATCAGTTTGTCGATATCCACAAAATAGCTTGCCAGGATTTTTTGGGATTGCAATGAATCTATAGATCAAGTTGGGAAGAACTGATATCTTGATAATACTGAGTCTTCCTATCCATGAACGTGTAATATCTCTCCATTTATTTAGCTCTTCTTTGATTTCTTTCATCCGAGTTTTTGTAGTTTTCCTCATATACAGGAGATATTGTGAGTTCATTTCCAGACCATTGCAATAAAGCAAATATTGCAAATAAGGCGAGTCACACAAATTTTTTGGTTTCCCAGTGCGTATAAAAGTTATGTTTACACTATACTGTAGTCTATTAAGTATGCAACAGCATTTTGTCTAAAAAAAACAATGCACATACCGTAATTAAAAAATACTTTATTGCTAAAAAATGCTAACCATCATCTAAGCCTTCAGCAAGTCATAATCTTTTTGTTGGTGGAGGGTTTTGTAAAAAATGCAATATTTGCGAAGCGAAATGAAATGAGGTATACCTGTATATCTTATACATATTTTTAAAGATTTATACCTAAGTATTTCATTTTTGGGGGTGCTAATGTGAGTGGTGTTGTGTTTTTAATTTCAAATTCCACTTTTTCATTGTGGATATATGGGAAAGTGAATTTTGTGGATTAACCTTGTATCTTGCAATTTTGCTATAACTGCTTATTAGTTTGAGGAGTTATTTTGTTGATTCTTTTGGATGTTCTACATAGACAATCATGTTATCTGCATACAAAGACAGTTTTGTTTCTTCTTTCCTAAAGCATCTACCTTTCATTTTCTTTTCTCGTCTTGCTGCATTAGCTAGGATAGGACTTCCAGTACGATGTTGAAAAGATGTGGTGAGAAGGGATATTCTTGCCTTTTTCCTAATCTTAGAGGGAAAACTTCTAGTTTCTCACCATTAAGTATGATGTTAGCTGTAGGTTTTTTGTAGATGCTCTTGATCTAGTTGAGGAAGTTCTCTTCTATTTCTAGTTTGCTGAGAGTTTTTAATCATGAATGGGTGTTGGATTTTGTCAAATGCTTTTTGTACATCCATTGATATGATCATGTGATTTTTCTGTTTTAGCCTGTTGTTGTGATGGATTACATTGATTGATTTTCATGTTCTGACTGTTTTTAATAAGCCTAGACTGGACTCAGCTGGGCAGTTCTTCTGCTTTGTGTGTTGTTAGCTGGGGCTGCAGTCGTGTGGTGGCTCATATGGGGGTGAAACGTCCAGGATGGCTCACTCATGTGGCTGGCTGTCAGCCGAGAGCTC